ATATATATTGTCTCTGAAAGCAAGCTACAAACCTGATTCTACAGATATAATTCCTTGCTAAACTGGGAGTCAGGAGTTAAACAGGAGCTAACCACAAGATTGGAATTTATGTAGCATCTGGTCTTGACCCTAACTTCCTGTTGGTAGCATCTGAGCTTTCATAATTACCATTGCCTACAAGCACCCCATAGACCACAACTAAAATGGTCCTGACTGGACATCAGGCAAAGATATTTTTCACAAAACCTCTAATTGCCTCTAATGTGTCATCAATATTGAGATCACTGCTGTTAAATCAAACTATTTTCCCAGCAACTTGCAATTGATTTGGAGAACATTTAACTCTATGACATAAATAAGCATGCTGTTTGCAAATGATTATTCCTGGTGAGAGTTCACAGGTGGCTTTCTTGATGAGGCCAAAAATATCATTTTTAAAAATGGGCTTCTTAAACTGGTGTCAGTGACAAGCACATAAGGTGAACTTTGTACAATGCAGCTTCTGACCAGGCCTGGGGGGGGATGGGGGGTGGGGGGCACGTGGTGATGAGAATCTTCATCCCTACAAATGATGCCCTTGCTGGTGGGCACACCCTTTATGAGTCAGACTGTAGAAACCACCAGGACTGTTACAGGCTCTGTGACCAGTAAGCTCATTAGAAATCCTGAGTCTAATTCTTTTACAGTCAACGATCAGGCTGTACTAAGTTTTTACAAAAAAGCCAAAAAAACTCACTTCACACGAGAAGGATAGGAATTAGTCAAATTGAGGTTTCAAACATGAAAAAACTAAACATGCCCACAGCTCGTTTTCCAACTGCAAATACCCAAACCGGTGGGAACTTTGTGTAAACAGCAAACGTACAAGCACCAGCACCCAAGCTCACTTTTTGGGAGTAAAGATCCCCAACTTCCACATGTCCCCATTAACCAGTCACATATAAAATAGTGAATCATCCCACTGCCAGGCCAGAGCAGCCCTGACTTCCCGAACTCACGTGCCCTTTCCCCGGAGCCAGAAGGTACTACCTTAGAACTTCTAACCACCTATCCACTCACTAAGCAGTTTAGGGCACACCGCAAGGTGCAGAATACAGCGAGCAGGTTCTGAAGACGGCCAAACGCCATTCACCAGACCAACTTAAAGACAGAAGGCCAACAGGGCAATCAAGTCTCGAACATTAAAACCCCCAGACGGCTTCAAGTGGACAAAGTTACAGCAACTTTACAGAAAAAGTGGGTGGCTCTTAGAAGAGCCTTTGAGTTGATCGAAATCAAGAGTGGGAAAGCCTTACGCCCGCTCCCCGCGGATGCGGCGCGCCAGCTGGATGTCCTTGGGCATGATGGTGACGCGCTTGGCGTGGATGGCGCACAGGTTGGTGTCCTCGAAGAGCCCCACCAGGTAGGCCTCGCACGCCTCCTGCAGCGCCATCACGGCCGAGCTCTGGAAGCGCAGGTCGGTCTTGAAGTCCTGCGCGATCTCGCGCACCAGCCGCTGGAACGGCAGCTTGCGGATCAGCAGCTCGGTGGACTTCTGGTAGCGGCGGATCTCGCGCAGGGCCACCGTGCCGGGCCGGTAGCGGTGCGGCTTCTTGACGCCGCCGGTGGCCGGCGCGCTCTTGCGGGCCGCCTTGGTGGCCAGCTGCTTGCGCGGGGCCTTGCCGCCCGTCGACTTGCGCGCCGTCTGCTTCGTACGAGCCATTTCAGAGAAACCGAGGAGGTAAGCCAAACTGACCAGCAAGGCCAAAGGCGTTGCCTTTATATATACTCAGAAACATTCCGATTGGTCTCGCGTTTTTCAAAAGTCCCGCGCAATGAAACTATTGGCTAAAGAGTGAACGACCTGATTGGTAAATTAAAACAGACTCCGATTGGATGACTAGTTCATCATTTCAATCCCCTGTAATCTTTGTCATAGTCAGCCATCCTAGGATTTAACACTAATATTCTGGCTCAATTCATCTCAAAACCAATTAAATCACTTGGAGGTCGGGGAAAAATGCCAATTCTGATTGAGGAGACCTACGTAATGGGGCCTAACGTTCCCAGGACCACGCTTTCATCACAGATTTATGTATATTTTGTTTCAGATGGTTATTTTTACTGAACTGAACCTTGAGTGGCCTAGACTGCCACTTGTGTCCACTCTGGGAAACCACAGGTAAAACGCCTCGTCCCGGAGACGACGGTAGATCACCAGTGCACAAGAAATGTTTGTTGGGCTTCCTTAAGGTGGCCGAATAGCATACTGCTTCTTTCAATTCAGAATTGAAACAGCTTGCTCCGATTTTCGATCCTGTAGTTTTGCTGTTTAAATGTCTTAAGAGACTCTAGGTTACCGTGCCCACCCGCCATTTTTCACAGGGTTCATTTATTAAACTATCCTCCTTACTTGTGGTTATTTAAGCGTTTTACTTGCGCACAACTTGGGAAACATGGGAGTCCAACCTATCCAGATAAGCACTAGCCCAATGCTGTACTTAAAACTGTTAAGCTTATTCAGAAGTCCCGTTTCCCAGGATCCCAAAGTAACGTCAACAAAATAAATTGCAATGAATGAACTGTAACCAAAGGCTGCAACCATTTAAATTTTACGCAATTATGTTGCCTCGATTTGAGCTACAAACTCTTTCATGTGAAAACGTGGACGGCTCTGAAAAGAGCCTTTGGGTTATGAAAGTTTTTAGCTTTAGTGCACACTGGGATTTAGATAGATTCACTTGCCCTTGGCCTTGTGGTGGCTCTCGGTCTTCTTGGGCAGCAACACGGCCTGGATGTTGGGCAGGACGCCGCCCTGCGCGATGGTCACGCGGCCCAGCAGCTTGTTGAGCTCCTCGTCGTTACGGATGGCCAGCTGCAGGTGGCGCGGGATGATGCGCGTCTTCTTGTTGTCGCGGGCCGCGTTGCCCGCCAGCTCCAAGATCTCGGCTGTCAGGTACTCCAGCACCGCCGCCAGGTACACTGGCGCGCCGGCCCCGACCCGCTCCGAGTAGTTGCCCTTGCGGAGCAGGCGGTGCACGCGGCCCACCGGGAACTGCAGCCCGGCCCGCGACGAGCGCGTCTTGGCCTTGGCGCGAGCCTTGCCACCCTGTTTTCCGCGTCCAGACATGATGATGCTGTGACTACAGAGCCAGAAAAAGAAGAGACTGAGCCTACCTCGCAAGAAGCTAGACCATTATACTCTGCAGAGGTTTGGTAAAGCAGCCTATGCCGTTGCCCGAACACAAATTCTAGCCAATCAAGAAGCACGTCCAAAACAACACTGTTTCTAATTTACATAGAACGTTTACGATAGAAAGGTCAAATTATTCATGGTTGAACTATGGGGAAGAGCCAATGAGAGTTTAGGATAAAGAACAGCCTATCAGAAGCTAAGATACTGAAGGGTCCAATCAGAAATCGTAATTCTGCGATCCCTAATTTGCATACACACCAAATAAAAAAGAGGTCGCTTGCTCGTAGGCGTATTTTCCTCCCGTTCGCCTAGAGGTGTTGTTGGGACGCAATGCCTGAGCCAGCGAAGTCCGCTCCCGCCCCGAAGAAGGGCTCCAAGAAGGCGGTGACCAAGGCGCAGAAGAAGGACGGCAAGAAGCGCAAGCGCAGCCGCAAGGAGAGCTACTCGGTGTACGTGTACAAGGTGCTGAAGCAGGTGCACCCCGACACGGGCATCTCGTCCAAGGCCATGGGCATCATGAACTCGTTCGTCAACGACATCTTCGAGCGCATCGCGGGCGAGGCGTCGCGCCTGGCGCATTACAACAAGCGCTCGACCATCACGTCCCGGGAGATCCAGACGGCCGTGCGCCTGCTGCTGCCCGGGGAGCTGGCCAAGCACGCCGTGTCCGAGGGCACCAAGGCCGTCACCAAGTACACCAGCTCCAAGTAAATTTGTTCACCATCACAGCACCAACGATTTCAGGCTCTTTTAAGAGCCGCCCACATTCTCATTTAAAGAGCTGTAATCTTTCCAACTTCTGGAAACTGCAACTTGTTTTCGTCACGTTTAATTTGCTGAGTATTGGCAAACTCTGAATTTGGGAACAAAGGTTAACTTCTGGCGTGTGCGGACCATCAAGAAGCAAATGTGTAAGTAACTTGATTATGGTGCATTTGGCTTGGCTTCTTCAGACAACTGCTGGAGATAGTGGACCTAGGGTTGCCCCCACCTCGAGAGGATTTTTTTTTGTTGTTGTTTTTGTTTTTGTTTTATCGCTTTTGGCTTCATTTTGTCCTCCGTTACCTTTGGGGGAATTCCCTTCAGGAAAACCTGGAGTCCTAGTTTTGAGTGGCCCTAAATGAAAACAAGTGTTAACCATTCTTGAGAAAAATGAAACCACTTTTTTGTAATTTGTTGGCTTGTGGGTGGCTACAGCGGCACCTAATGGCGCGATGTGCCCTCTGCAGCTTGACTTTCCAGACTCTTAGCGGATCTGCTAGTCCTCAAATCCACATCCTCCCGACTCCGCTAATTAAGCGAACATTTTAACGTAGCTAAACATTGCCTCTTGGAAAAGATCAGGAACTCTATCCACTGGGGTTTTCTACCGGATTAATATACGAGGGTGAAAGAGACGCTACCTAAAACTGGGTAACAGGAGGTGGGGGGGAGTCCCAGAGTTCTTCCGAAGCCTCCCTGTGTCCTGAATAGTCTTGTCCCCAGTTACTTCTTCGTTCCCTAGGATTTTAGTCCAAGGAAGAGGAGTTCAAAGGAATTTACATTTCTGCGCTTGTCCTTCGCCTGATTTCAGCCTACAATCACCCGTGAAACGGAATCTTCCATTGTACAAGCGAATGTCCTGAGAATTGAGATTAAGCAGCCCTTTACATCAATAAACACTATATGGAATATATATCACGGATATGGAAGGTAAGAATCACCTGGTAGCAAATTTAACTCTTCTGGCGCTGTGGTGCAGAGGGGGAAACAATGAGCATTGATGGTGTAAAACTGAGCTCAAAAATCTCATTTTCCACTTACTAGCTACACGTCTTGATCTACAAATGCCTACATGGTAAATTTCCGTGAGCATTAAATAAGCGGCTCCGTTTTGTAAGGGGGCTTGTGAAGGTTCTCTCGGCCCCACATGCAGTTAAGGCATTGAGTTCTAGCTCTCCAAAGCTAATTTTAAGTACATTTAGAAAATAACATATTCATGAGAAGAAATACAAAAGCAGAAATGGACACCATAAAGGGTGTCCAAAGATACAGTCCTGGCAGCCTGTTTCAAGGCTACATTTGAGCAAACTTCTTAAACCTTCCGTGAGCATTTCCTCGCCTCTAAAATGGGAATAATAATTAGTGCCTACTGCATGGCATTGCTGATGATCAATAAAAGATCACAGTAAGAGCGCTAGGACAGTCCCTGCAGAGGGGAAAGTCATCCAAGATGGCAGCTATGGCTAAAGCCTCTGATTGAAGGGGTAGGAAAGGTGCCCATGTTAGTATCTGAGTCCTGAGGCCTTGAACAAGGCAGAAGACCACAAAAGTATAAAGGCATGGGACACCAGGTAGGGTTCTTTGTCAATCTAAACCCCTTCTAATAGTCTGAAGCCCTCCTTAGAATCATCTCTCCACCCTGAACTCTTTTAAGGACAACCTAGTGCCTGTGGCTGTGAGACTTCCCCACCTCTGCCTGCCAGTTCAAGCAACACGTGCCTAATTTTCCAGGGACTTCCTCTTGCCTCGCCTGAGCCAGCGGCACCTCATTTAACAGTAAGGTGTGCGTTGGAGTACGAGGAAGGGACGCTGGAAACACACAAGAGCCGTTAGTAACTTTTTTTCCCTTTTTTGTTCCCATGCCTCCTGTTCTCTCTGCCTAACCTCGCTGTGGTGTCCGGCCAGAACGAAGAATCATCTTCAGAAAACCAGCTGGCACTCTTAAAGTTAGAAGAGAATCACGACATTGCTGCCTGTGGTCCTTCCCAGATGAGGGAAAGCCAGGGCCGCCCTACAGACGGCTGTGCTGTTGCCAACAACTTCAAAGACAATCAATCTCATTTCAGAAAAGAACGATCCTCGAAGGAAATACAGATAACCGCAAAATAAGAAATCTTTATACCAAATAAATGTGGTCCTTTCTACCAAATAAATTTAATTAACTTTTAATATTAAGGAAAACTTACTATGCTGACCTTACGTTTCTCATTTTGACACAGAATACAGAGAAAAGTGGCCGGGACTAACACTATTCTTAGATGAGCATCTGGGAACCACTGATTTGTTCAAGTCCCTTCATTTCAGAATTTTAAAAAATGTCTCTGAATCAGCTCAGCTAATCAGAGAAGGGGCCCGGGTTAAAACAGATTTCTTGACTATTTCCCCTAAAATTATACCTACTTCTCACTTCCACATGTTTGAAGACTTATATTCTATTATTGTAAGTAATCCGCACACATATTAATATCATTAGCAGAATATTATGAAGTAATCCACACAATGAAAATTCTACTTGATCTTTCATATTCCAGCAAAGCATCCTGTAATGTTTTTAAGGCAGTCAACAAAGCAACTGTCAACCAATAGACAGATGAATCGTGACATAATCAGGCATGATCACACGCTCTAACATTGCTATGAAAGCAAACGAGCTTTAGCCACACGTGACAACGTGGCAACTCAGAATAAAGCAATTCCCAGAAACCAGATGTGATCTAATACTGTGTCAATCCATTTAGGCTAATTGTGCCGTGATAAACAATCCCCAGATCCCAGTGACTTACTACAATGAAGGTTCTTGTTTTGCTCATGTTTATTGACTGTGGGTGAGTTACTGCTCTAATTCCACCTGTCTTCAGCCTAAGAACCATGCTGGAGGAATAGGGACAGATCACACAATGGCTTACTGAAACGACACATGTCATTTTCACTCATATTCACTGCCCATAGCAAATCACATGAGCAAGCCTAATGCCATTAGGGCAGGAAATAAAATCCTCTCACCAGATGGAGTTGCAAATGTCTGGAACGATAGGGCGTTCTTCCACAGATACAATTTTTTGATAGCAAAGACTAAGCACCAAAGCCACATATTATTTAGATTTCAGTGCATGTGTGATTTTAAAAGGATAAGAAATAAAGGCAAGAAAATGACAGAATTCAAGACTGTGGCTATCTCTGGTGGGGTTGAAGGAGGACAAAATTAGGCCAAAGCAATGGATTGGTAATATTTGTATAACCGGGTTGGCAATTGGGTTCTTTAATGTTTATTTATTTTTAGAGAGAGTGAGAGACAGAGCGGAGCATGAACAGGGAAGGGGCAGAGAGAGAGGGAGACACAGACTCCGAAGCAGGCTCCAGGCTCCGAGTTGCCAGCACAGAGCCCGACGCAGGGCTCGAACTCACAAACCATGAGATGATGACCTGAGCCGAAGTCGGACACTTACAACTGAGCCACCCAGGTGCCCCAGCAATCGGGTTCTAATGTGGTCATCATCATATTATCCTTTATAACATGTACACGTAGTTCAGATATTCCTTTGTATATATTGAGAATTATAAATTATAAAGCTAATAAAGGAAAATGTGCAATTATATTGGTGGAATCACCTCACGTTCCACAAAACAACAGAAGCCTCCTAAGCTATTAAAAGTTGCCTATACTGGGTTTTGTTTATAAGAAAGAAAATCACCCCTTAGATCCCAAAAGTCTGTAGAGGCCCACAAGGACAAAGCAGGGCACTTTGCCAAAGTCACTGCTGATACACACAAAATGTGTATTTCAATGGATCCTTCTAGAAATATTTTTCTTTTCTGCAAGGTTGCTTGTGTAGCCTTTTGATTTCATTAACTGTAAATCCGTTTAACCTTCACTTCATTCCTATCTATTCATCCAGGCACTTGAGAGTTTCAGTACAGTTTCACTCTAATGGGGAAAGAGATACACATGCACCATTGAAATCCAGTATGCTAAGAGCAACAACTGATTTTGAAAAAGATAATTGTTCCACAGTGAGAAAAACTGTAGGGAAAGACAAAAGGAGACACAACTTTGCACAGCTCCCTGTTGTCCAGAGTAAAGCCCAGATCCCCGTCACGGGCCTGACAGGCCTCCTGAGCCTGGCAGTGAGCCTCCTGGGCAAGCATCCGCTTAGGACTCCCAATACGGACTTGACTTATGCTCTTTGGACACCCTTTATGGTGTCCATTTCTGCTTCACATTTCATGGGCGGGGGTGGGGGGGTGTTGACTTCCCAAATAGACTGCAAGCTTCTCAAGAGCAGAGAAAACAGACTGGGGGGCATCAGGGGTTGGTATGCCATCACAGACAGCCTCCCTAAAAGGATATTTGACTTAAAAAGTGAAGGAGGTGAGAGGGATGCCTCCAAGGATCTGGTAGCTGAGAGGCCCATGTAGAAAGAAGAGTCTTTAAAAGATCTGTGTACTTGGCCTATTTGAGAAAGTTCCAGGGCCAGTGTCACTGGGCTAAGAAGGAGAGGGAGAGTAGACAGTTTGAAGTAACAAGGGCCAAGAGAGTAAGGACTTTGACTTTCACTTTAAGTGAAATGAGAGCCGTTGGAGGGTTTTCAGCAGAGAGGCGACTTGATCTGATTTACTCTTTATTATAATCCCTGGCTGCTGTGTGAAATATAGGAGAGAGGAAGCAGATGGGGCTGCAGGAATAACGATGGAGTGACGGCCGCTTGGCCAGAGCAGCAGTGATGGGAAAGAGCCGGAAAGGGAAATGCTAGCCTTCTTGCTGTGTTTTCCAGGTACAGCTGACAGGACCTACTATGGACTGGAGGGTCGAAAACAACTCCAGCTGAAAAGTTGGACTCGCCATTTTCCAGATTCAAGATGTTGACAAGAGAGGCTGGTCTTGCAGTGATGGTGTCAGATTTGGAAATGGATATTCATGGACTTCCAAATAGAGAAGTCAAGTGGGTAGCTGGGTCTCTGAGTGTGGAGTTCAAGGGATGATGACTTAACTTCTTCTACATTATTGTATAGACGGCATCTCCACAACAACAGGGGAACACCAGCTCAACAGATCAGAAACGGGTGTTCTCAGGGTCCACTTTCTCAGATCAGGAGCTGGTGAAGGTAAGGGAAGAGAAAAGCAGCTTCAGACACAGAGCTCTGAACGCTGGCCTCCACAAACAGGCTTCGGGAGGCCTGAGAACTCACTGGAATTGCATGCAAAATATACGGGGAAGTTGTCCATTTTGAGAAAGGTGCCTATTATCTATTGGTGGATCCCCAAAGTGATCTCCCGTGGTTCTAACTTCAACAGATTATTTGAGTGAGAGCTCCACTGTCATTGCACACTCTTATGACTGAGGGCAGCTTTCCACATCTGTAAAATGAGACTATTTTCTTCTGCTTGTTCTGAGAGTCACAGGAGAAAGGGAGAATTACAGAAACACGTGTAAAACCATCAGTGATCTATCCACAGATCATGAATACAGAGCAAACACTCCTTACTTATCTGACCTAGGACTCGGTTCTTGAACTGCTTCTCTTCATTACCAACCCTCTCTCCTAAGAGATCTCATCTTCTCGCATGGCTTTTTCACTCTCGTGGCATCAGGACAGTTATACCCTGACAACTCCCAATAATGTTTCCAGCCCAGATCTCTTCCCTGAACTGCAGATTCATATATCTAGCTAACCTAGTTCGTACCTCCCTCTTAGAAATGTAATAGGTATCCCAAATTCTGCATGTCCAAAGCTGAACCTGTGATTCTCCCCAAAACTTGTTCCTTCTATATTCTTATCCATTTTAGCGACTGGCATTACCATCTTCGATGCAGTGGCTAAAATCATTGGGATTATCCGAGAGTGTTCTAATTCTCTCATACTCTACATTCACTAGCTAACAAGAGGGCCAAGGGCAAGTTGTCCAAAATAGACGATGGTGTATTATTTTGAATTGAAGCTACGTGGGAAAAAGCACATGCAAGGACACTTAGACTCTCCTCGGTCCCCTCCAAATGTGGAAATAAAACTACCATATAAAAGGAACCCCTCACTGGACTAAGTAAAAACACATCATTATCACCAGAAATAGGAACTTTAAAGCCAAGAAAGCTATAGAAACAATCCTGGTTAATTTCACTAATGTACTACGTCAGGCCAAATTCCTCTTAAAAGTCCTTACTAATTAAAGCTCTCAAATGTGTGTTTTTAATCCTGTCCATTCCTCACGAATGCATTTTCTCTGTCTAGAAGGTATAAAAACTGCCCTGCATTATTCATTTGTTTGGGCCTCAAATTCCTTACCGGACCTCTGGACGCAGGTAATAAAACCTTTGGATTTTTTTTTTTTTTTCTCCTGTTAGTATGTCCTCCTGTAAAGTTTAGTCCAGCTGGAAGACCCTGGAGGAAGTGGAATACTTCTGATGACATTTTCGGGTGATGGGGGGTGGTCCGGAGCCAACAGCCAAAAAAGAATTCTTGAAGACACCTTTGGTGCAAAAAAAAAAAAAAAAAAAAAAAAAAGGTGATTTTATTAAAGCAGGGAACAGGACCCTGGGCAGGAAGAGCTGTCCTGACGGGTAACTTCTTATATACCCTCAGGATGGAAGGTGGTCAGGGATAAAGTTTTTAAGGAATTTTGTCAGCAAGGTTTCCAGGACCTTGAGGGACTAGCTGTTGCTAGGGAAACACCATTTATCACTGTGTAGTAAAACCTCAGTCATGAGACCCTTCAGATATACATCAGGGGGCCACATGCTTAGAGTATGATTGTCAGCATATATCTTGGGGCCTTTGAGATAAAGGAAGTTTCCAAAGGAATTTTTATAGGTTAAAGTAGACTTACAGGTTCAGGGGTGGGGAGTGGGAGGCGGTCAGGATAATAAGCCAAGGTGCTCTTTTGCCCCTAGCAAAGTGTCATCATCCAGCCAGCTGAGCTCCTAGAGGGAGGTCACTGCGGGTTTCAAGGACCTGCCAATGGCTGTAGGCAATAAGGGAATTTAGTTTTTCGCTTGCCTTAGCTTCCCACATCATTATGGCAAGCGCTTACACCCTTCCTTTGTTCTAGGGTAGCCAGGAGTGTCCTAGGAATGTCACATATATTCCACCTGGGGGCGGGGGAGGGGTAGCCTGTATTTTGCCCTCAGCTCGCTCCACGCTCCTCATCACTTCCCTCCCCACGCTTAGCAATTTGGGGTGAAATATCCTGATGCCTATATGTACACGTTTTTAAAATGCCACCACATCTCCTTAAAATTAGGTGACATTTACATATTGACCATTAAGTAACATCCTTATCTCCGTGAGGTTTTCATAATAGGTCATAAATTGTCGCCCGCTAGGCCACGCAACACCTGCCAGATCTGACCCTCCAGCCGCCCAGCGCACGACCCCGGGGCCTTCGGAACCGCGGAGCGAGCCTGGCAGAACGCAGCCCAGCCCAGGGGCGGGGCGGAGGCGGGGCCGGAGGCGGGGCCAGGCGGGCCGCGGGAACGCGTCTTTGTTCCGCAGCCGTCCTCCCGCCGCCGACCCCGCCATCTTGGACGCGGGAGCCCTGCAGGGAAGGCGCACCCGCTCCCTCCCGCGTGGGCATCCCCTTGCTAGTATTCCAGAACCAAACCCACCTGACTTCGAACTCGAAAGTGCTCGGGAACGAAGGAAGCGCCTTGGAAATGCTGACGATACCATGTGGCCTTGTCTGTCACCCAAAACGATGGGCAGCCCAAGGCTTAGACAAACTGACTGCGGCAGAGCCACAGCACGGCTTAACTAAGCCCCAGCGTTAAAAGCCCTCGGATTAAAATAAAAGGGCACGACAGAGCGGACAACTAACAACTCTCATACACATTTGGAAGCTAGGCCAACAATAGAACACAAAAATCCTAGAAACTAACCAAAAGCTACAGATCTTTCGTGAAAAACGTGGGCGGCCCTGAAAAGGGCCTTTTTGTGCTTGTGGAGGTAGCAGAAGATCCGAGGCGCTCAGCCGCCGAAGCCGTAGAGGGTGCGACCCTGGCGCTTGAGCGCGTACACCACGTCCATGGCCGTGACCGTCTTGCGCTTGGCGTGCTCCGTGTAGGTGACGGCGTCCCGGATCACGTTCTCCAGGAACACCTTGAGCACCCCGCGGGTCTCCTCGTAGATGAGGCCGGAGATGCGCTTGACGCCGCCGCGCCGGGCCAGCCGCCGGATGGCGGGCTTGGTGATGCCCTGGATGTTGTCGCGCAGCACCTTGCGGTGGCGCTTAGCGCCCCCTTTGCCCAAACCCTTCCCGCCTTTGCCTCGGCCAGACATGTCAGCACCGCTTAGCCACCTCCCGGAGAAAGCATGAAAGGCGTGGAGGCAACCTCCTTATATGTGCAGGATGCGGACCTAATTGAGGACTGGAAGCGCGCACGCGGGAAGGGCCGTTGCCCGGCCCCGCCCTCCGCGGCTCACTCCAGTGACGTCACTGGAGGCGGGGCCCGGACCCTCGGAGCGTGCCCTCCGCGGAGGCGGCTGGACTGTCCGGGGGCCTGTGTGGGACCTCGAAACTTTTTCGGTGCGTCAGACTAAAAAAGTGAGCGTTTTGCTCTACGTTTTGCTGCGTGAGGGGCCTTGGCCGATCGCCGGGCGCCTGCGTTGGCCTGCGGCGACCCCGCGGACCGGCCCTTCCCGCCCGAGCCTCCGTCCGGGCCTCCCGCGGCCGGGCGTCACCCCCACACCGAGCCCGAGAGGGTGTCCTCCCAACGGCGACCGCGGGCCTGGTTAGTGACTCCGAGGCGGAATTCTCGCCCGCGTGCCTTTCCCGGTCTTCCCCTTCCTTCCCTGTTTAGTAAAGTTTGTAACCCTCGCAGAGTATCTGGCCGCCTCTCCCCTCTGCCTCCGGAATTTCAACGGGGTGGTAACGCTTCCGTCTCTGCCTCTGGCTTTGTTCTCTCTGATTCTGGTAGCGATATCGTTCCGAAGAGAATTGGCAGTTTGTGGTAACCGAGGTGTTGAACCGGCGACCTCAACGTGGGTTTTTCCAGTGTCAGTAATCGCCTCTGAACACAGTTAAGAGCATTATTAGGAGTCGCCCTTCGCCGGAGAGCAGAGTGGCGCAGCGGAAGCGTGCTGGGCCCATAACCCAGAGGTCGATGGATCGAAACCATCCTCTGCTATCTGCTTTTTCCTGCAACTTTTTAGTTTCTGTAGCCTCGTTTCACAGTAGGGGAAGAAAATAGAGCCTGTTTTGCTTCATTCTGGAGTGAAAATTATTTCCTGAAAATAAACGTGAAACTGTTTACATTCTCCAGAGAGAAAAAGACCGTCGGTCATGGATACTCAGTTATCATTAATTAAGATGTTCCCCCACCACAAGCTATATTTCTAGTGGTTGCCAAAGGGATCGTGACAGTCCCATTGCCCTATGAACCTGGGAAAACGCTAAAATAAGCTGAGTGTAAGGGTGAGGACAGGGATGGAAGCCAAGAGAAGGCGTTTTCTTTCCTTCTATACGTAATTCAGAAAAGCTCTACTTGTTAGTGAGCTGTGGCCACGTGGCTAAAGCCCAGCGCCAAATCTTTGCAACTACCAGAGTCGGAAACTTTGGAATAAATAAGTAACAGTTTGAGACAGAGTGCAAAGTTTTGGTGGCCACGATTGAACTCTGACCTGAGAAAACCACTTATGTGGTTGATGCTGGTAAATGTGTTTCTACCGCCTGCCTCCCTTTACCAGTCTCCAACAGAGGTGCTCTCTAGGCTCATGCTTAAAGTGTATGTTTTATATTTCTCTCAGAAAAGATCTCTGTTCATATACTCACGTTGTAAGAGGTCGACTTATAAGATATCAGAAAGCTTATTGTGTATAAGTTCAGCTTAAACTCACCTTTCATGAATAATTGAGATAAAAGCTTATGTAGTTCCCTAATACGGAAATTAACCACCCTATCTCGCTTCTGTAACTTTGCCTGCTTGCTAAATAGATACCTTAGGCTGCAAAACGCTCCCCCACCCCTTCTGCCAAGATCTGGCCTAGGCAAGACCAACATGTAAAAAGTCACCAACTCACCGCCCCATGGTATCTTAGGTGTCTAACTACAGTTGGTCATTTTAAACCCTCTTAGGACAAAGAACTTTAAATTGATAGGTTCCCACCAAAACTAAAGTCTGTGTGTCACAATAGAATTGGCTACCATGAAATGCTGTAAATTGCAATTGGGTAACTAAATAATGACCTATTCTGACTTGCTAAAATCCATAGAAGCTCACTGCTACCTTTGTTCGGGGCCATTCTCTACACTTTTCTCCTTAAGATCAGGAGATCAGGTTTGGCCCGGCCGTGAATAAAATCTTGCCTCGCTTCTATTCGGCGTCTGGTGGTATTTTTTTTTTTTTTTCCAACAGCACCCTGTTTCATTTGGAGGTTCCACTGAGATTCTATGACCACCCGAAATTCGGAGGCTGAAGCGGAACAGCTAGGGGACAGCTCCCGAGACACGTTCCTCGGCCCCGGCCTTCCGTTCTCAGACCTGGCTTAAGCAAGGTAGGCGAGGCGGTGCCTAGTTTCTGTTTTCTGTTACTGGCCAGATCTGATTCTCGGAGGGAAGGCTGGACGCAGTTTAACTTCCCCCTAGCTGGTGTCTGGTGGAGACATCCCCAGCCCCATCTGGGTCTCCGGACCGTCTGGGTTGGGCTTGATCACCCCAACCATTCGTTCTATGTTCAGTGCTCTGTGTGCCCTGTTAACCGTTTCCTGTTAGCCTATCTTTATCTCTGGTGTGACCCAGTGTTTAACCTCCATCATGGGTCAGTCTTCGTCCGAGCCTTGCTCTCCCCTTAAATGCATGCTAAATAACTTCTCTGGTTTCAAAGAAAAAGGAAAGAACTATGGCTTTAACCTAAAGCCATGCTGGCTGCGGACATGTTGCCCACTGGACTGGCCGATGCTCTCTGGGGTTGACTGGCCCCCAGAGGGCTCCTAGAATCTTAACCTTGCTTATGCCGTCCGCAGGATTTGTCATGATGTTCATCTCGACCAGGAGCCATATGCTGTGACTTGGGTCGACCTCCTAAACGACCCACCTTCCTGGCCGAGAAAGTGCCAGAAACAGGGCCAAAAGCTGTCATCTGGCATCTCCCTTTCCCACTCCCCTTCCTGTTGTCCTCCAAACTCCGAACCCTTGCTTCCCGTCACTCAGCCTTCAAAGAGGCTTTCCCCAGTGCTTCAGGAGATACCCGAAGGGAGGGACTTGTTATCTGATTCTCAGAGACCACCTCCTTCTCCCCAGACCCCACTAGCTCCCCAGGAACCAAAAGCCGCAGGAGATCCTTTGACTAGTCCCCCACACACCAGATCAGGAGCCCTCTAGAGAGGAGAACACCGGTCCTCCGATGCCCCAGTTCCCATCCTTCCTCTTAGGCAAACGGCTCCGGCTCCCGGTCCAGACAGGCGGCCAACACGCCCGATGGTTGTCTACACTCCTTTCTCCACCTCGGACCTCTACAACTGGAAAACTCAGAACCCGCCTTTCTCTGAAAACCCCCAGGGCCTAATTGACTTATTGAGCTCCATTTTCCCCACTCACTTACCTACTTGGGGAGATTGTCACCAACTCTTGCAGGTCTTACTGACTTCAAGGAAAGGGCCAGAGTGCCCCGGGAAGCCACGAGAGCAGTCCTTGGCCCGGATGGAATGCCTACCACAGACCTTCACAGAATTGAGCACGTTTTC